ACCTTAGGGGATGGTGAGTAGTATGGTGGTGGTGGTGAGCTGTAAACATACGGTGGTGGAGGAGATTTGTAGTCTACCTTAGGGGATGGAGAGTAGTACGGTGGTGGTGGAGAACTGTAGACGTATGGGGGAGGAGAAGACTTGTATACAACTTTGGGAGATGGAGAATAGTAAGGTGGTGGTGGGGAGCTGTAGACATATGGTGGAGGAGAAGATTTGTATACAACCTTAGGGGATGGAGAATAACATGGAGGTGGTGGTGGACATACACATACATGAGGGTGTGGTGGAGATTTGTATACAACTTTAGGGGATGGTGAGTAGTACGGTGGTGGTGGAGAGTTGTAAACATATGGTGGTGGAGGAGACTTGTAGTGCACTTTTGGTGAAGGTGAGTAGTATGGTGCTGGTGGGGAGCTGTAAACATATGGTGGTGGAGGAGACTTGTAGTGTACTTTAGGAGAAGGTGAGTAGTACGGTGGTGGTGGAGAACTGTATACATATGGTGGGGGAGGAGATTTGTAGTCAACTTTAGGGGATGGTGAGTAGTATGGTGGTGGTGGAGAACTGTAAACATACGGTGGTGGAGGAGACTTGTAGTCCACCTTTGGAGATGGAGAGTAGTATGGTGGTGGTGGGGAGCTGTAAACATATGGTGGTGGAGGAGACTTGTAGTCTACCTTAGGGGCTGGAGAGTAGTATGGTGGTGGTGGAGAATTGTAAACATACGGTGGTGGAGGAGATTTGTAGTGTACTTTAGGGGATGGAGAGTAGTAAGGTGGTGGTGGGGAGCTGTAGACATATGGTGGAGGAGAAGATTTGTATACAACCTTAGGGGATGGAGAATAACATGGAGGTGGTGGTGGACATACACATACATGAGGGTGTGGTGGAGATTTGTATACAACTTTAGGGGATGGTGAGTAGTACGGTGGTGGTGGAGAGTTGTAAACATATGGTGGTGGAGGAGACTTGTAGTGCACTTTTGGTGAAGGTGAGTAGTATGGTGCTGGTGGGGAGCTGTAAACATATGGTGGTGGAGGAGACTTGTAGTGTACTTTAGGAGAAGGTGAGTAGTACGGTGGTGGTGGAGAACTGTATACATACGGGGGAGGGGGAGATTTGTATACTACCTTAGGGGATGGGGAGTAGTACGGTGGTGGTGGGGAACTATAAACATATGGTGGTGGAGGAGACTTATAGTTTACCTTAGGAGATGGAGAGTAGTATGGTGGTGGTGGAGAACTGTAAACGTACGGGGGAGGAGGAGACTTGTATACAACCTTAGGAGATGGTGAATAGTACGGTGGTGGTGGGGAGCTGTAAACATATGGTGGTGGGGGAGACTTGTAGTATACCTTAGGAGATGGAGAGTAGTATGGTGGTGGTGGAGAACTGTAAACGTATGGAGGAGGAGGAGACTTGTATACAACCTTAGGAGATGGAGAGTAGTAAGGTGGTGGTGGAGAACTGTAGACGTATGGAGGTGGAGGAGACTTGTAGTCCACCTTTGGAGATGGAGAGTAGTATGGTGGTGGTGGGGAACTGTAAACATACGGTGGTAGAGGAGACTTGTAGTCTACCTTAGGGGCTGGAGAGTAGTATGGTGGTGGTGGGGAACTGTAAACATACGGTGGTGGAGGAGATTTGTAGTCTACCTTAGGGGATGGAGAGTAGTACGGTGGTGGTGGAGAACTGTAAACATATGGTGGGGGAGGAGATTTGTAGTCAACTTTAGGGGATGGTGAGTAGTATGGTGGTGGTGGAGAACTGTAAACATACGGTGGTGGAGGA